GTGAATATCCATGATCAGTGAATTTCGATCCATATCGAATATGAGGCAGTTATTCACCATAGGTGATGAACGGAGGGTTGCGCAAGCTGATGGATTGGTTGAAGTTAGACCAGTTAGCACCGTTGGGTATCGGTTCAGTGGTAAAAAATTTTTGCAAATCTGCACGCGAAACCGAAAGGTTTTTTTGGGTTCGAGTCCCTGTAGTACACAATTGTAATTGTTCATTTACAAAGGGGCGTCATATTGAAATGAAAATGATTTCCTAGATTTCCTACTTTTTTTCAATGGCTTTCTAAAATATGTGATCCGTTTGTGGTTTTAACCATAAAAAAATATCTATTGATATTTTTTAAAATGAATTTCATGCATTTACTAAGAAAAAAAATATTATTATTTATTCGGTATCTTTTTTTATTCTCTAGAAAAAAAAGGTAAACAAAAAAAAATATTAGTAGAAAATTTATCTGATTATTATTATTAAATAATGAAAGAATTAAAAGCTAATAAACCAATAGCTAAATAAATTTTTATTTAATTTTTTTTCAATTTAAACAAAAGTTACTAAAAGGAAAACAGTTTTATTTGTTCATTGTTCAATTATTCTTTATATATAGAATTGATAAGAGTGATATGCTTGCTGACGCCCATAAAAGTTGGTGGTACTAACAGGATTATTATTATTATTAATAATATTATTACTATTATTAGTATCATTAATATAAACAACTAAGTGATGAGTATAATAGTCTTAACGGTTTCTAATTATTTCTATTATGAATAAATAAAAAAAATCAAATTAGTGTTTCGCCTATTTTTTTTTAAAAAAAATATAAATGTGTTCCCATTTATTATACACTTCATGAGAAAAAAAAGATACACGAATATAAATAAATAAGGCCGATTTTAACTTCTTTTTTTTGCATTAATTATGATAGACATGAGATGATGTGATAAATGCATTTGTTAATTCGTTGAAAGTAAACAAAGCGAGAGAGAGGTAGGGAGAGAGAGAGATAGAGAAAGGGACAATGAATAAATAAACCAGTAAGTTAATTCATTTTTATTTGTAAATGGTTAAGTAGTAGATGCGGGTTCAATTATTCAATGTTTATGCGCGTTTGTTTTTTTCTTACTCTAATAAAGTAAATAATCTTATTTTTTTTGTTTCAATATCATTTGATGAAGAGAGAGAAAAAAAACAATAAAAGATGCCGGCCCAGTGGTCCGATGGTTAGGCGGTTCCGGGTTCGAATGCTGCTAGGTGCAGAAGTCGTGGATGTGCACTGCCACTGATGAGTCCCATACAAGGACGAAACGGCCATCTGTCAGTGCTTCCAGGTTTCTAATAGTAGTCTAACATTGATTGATTGATGATTTCAAATGTGTAAAAACACAAATCTCCAAAGCTCTAAGTGAAAATAAAAGATCTATTTTATTAAAAGGAAACTTTCACTAAAATTTTGTTTATATCAAATATTCATGTATGCATCGTTTAGATAAAAAAATTAACAGAATAATGAAATTTTAGGGGATGATTTTGTGAATTGCGGTACATTTTTCATGTTCAAGACAAATTTTACTGTTTTCTTCATTAGTTCGACAAAAAAAAGACGGCTTACAAATGATTCAATATGCTGTTTGTTATACAATGTACATTTTTTCACATTGTTCAAATGTCAATAATTATTAACTTTGTTTATCTTCTTTTTTAACTAAGATCCGTTGAACATTGAAAAATTAAAAATTATTCATAGATAATTATTTTCTTATATTTATTTTAAGAATCGTATGTAGATTTTCTAAAGTGTAGTTTTATGTTATCGCATAAATAAGTTATCGGAAAAAGTAACATCATACATAATATTACGTAATAAAATGTTAAACTTGATAGTGATAATCAAAAGGTGTGGTATCCATAGAATTTTATAGATCATTTAGATTTTTAAGTTTTTCAAATATTATTTTTGGAAAGGAAAATATACATTTTTAAACAACATTTCACTTAAACAAGCCATTTGACGTTTCTCGTCACATCGTACTACTGAAAACATTACCTTAAAATAGTAGATTTTTTTTATAATTGTACAATAGTCACTTTAATTTTCATTATTTTTCTTGTTTTACTTATTGATACAATGACTAAACAAAATTTATCTCGACTAAAAAATCAATGTGGCAAACCACTGTAATCATCCATGACGTGATTCTTACTGTACTACACAATAGTTCTAGTTATCTTCGACAATCTAGTTATAGATTACTGTAGAGACAATGTATACTCCATTCAGTCACATTCGATAAAGTGCGTATTGGCAATTTCCGAATATCGGCTTCCTGAAATGTAATTTGAAATATTTTACAAATATCAATTAAATAATAATAGCAGCTTGATATATAACACAAATGCATATATATATATATATATATATATATATATCGCATTTTGGAATTGTGGAGATTGTTAAGTTACGTACTGAAATCATGAATCGATCAATGTCAGACCACCATTAGAAACCTGGAAGCACTGGAAAGCCGTTTCGTCCTGGTATGAGACTCATCTGCACCTCGTAGGATTCGAACCCAGGATTCTCGGTCTTGTGAGAGAACGCCTAAACCTCTGGACCACTGAGCCGTTATCTAACAGTGTAAATGTCTAATTTCGATTAATTCATGGTCTGTTTTTCGCTAGTTAGTTTCTACATCCGGGCAGGGTTGAACTCCACCGGCCACGACTTCTCACTAGAACTCAGAGAAGATTCCTCACGGAACTAGGTAATTGTGTTATGGGGTTGTGGATTTTGTTAAGATACTCATTTGAATCATGTGCTTCTAGGTTTCTAACGGAGGCCTGACATTGATCGATTCCTATATATTTACGATACTTAATTTAATTAGCTAACAGAATGAAGACTCTTTCTTTATCCTAGAATTTTGTTTAAATTCAACTATGCCATAAAGGTATTTGAGTAACAATTAGAATTATCACTATAATTCAGTACTTTTTAAATAAAACATATTATAATGAAAATAATCTATTTATGGTGAATGATTATGATGAAGTTTCACTTCCTAACTAACTTTTATGTAAAATTCGTGCTGATCATTTCCAAAAAGGCAGTAAAAACCTCTCAATAAAACCACCGAGTCCAGACAATGAAACCCCATCACAAATTATCTGAAAATAAAACATTTATGGTTTATTCCAATAAAACTTACTTGCTTATTTTAGCCTTTTACCCCTAACTGAGCATAGGCCGACTAACAGGGATAGGATCTCTAATCCCCATGCCCAAGCCTTCTCCTTTATCCGGGCTTGGGACGGACAGTAAACGTATAAAGTCTCCAAGTGGAGTTATTCAACTAAAAACTACAATAGAATTTATAAACCAATTTAATTTACTTATACTCCAATCATCTATATTAAATATTTGATTGATAAATTATGCTGTCAAAATTAATCTTTATAGAAAAATTTCTAATGTAGAATGTTGATTTTTTTGATTGGATTTCATACCAAATAGAAGAGAAATATTATGTAATACTTCAGTCGGTTATTTATTATTATCGTCTGTAATAAATTACTTAAGATAATTTGAAAATAGTTTTCATACCTACTTGACTACAAGTCGAGTTATGAAACTAATTACAAATATCACAATCTGATTTGATACTCATCAACACTGTGTATTTTCATAATTTTTTAGATATGTTAGTAATCAATGAAAATTTAAATCACTGGGACTCTAATCACTAGTTAGTGATTTTAAACATTGATTGATTCTAATGTGATTCTGATGTGTAAAGACAATTTATGACTTATTGCCTCATCTTCAATTTCGAGGAAATCATTAGTAAGGAACTGTTAAGATTATTGAATTTAATTGTTGTCATGAACCTATCTATGTTAGACCACCATTGAAAACCTTGTAGCACTGGACAGACGTCTCATCCTAGTATGGGACTCAGCAGTAAATATCCCAGACTGAGTACACGGGAATCGAACGTAGGACTTTTGGTCTCAGGCACGAACATTAAACCACTAGACCATCAGGTTGATATCCAACAGTGTTAACGTTTAGTTTCGCTCAATCCCTGATATTAAGCGACCTTTTTTTTCTTGTTGTTATCAGTTACTGTTAACACGCATGATAATTTGATGAATCTGTCTTATTATTAAAATTATTAACAAACACAGGAATAATGGTATTTATAATTACTGTTCAAATAAACTCATAATACTCTGAACTATATTTTATGTTGTATTAAGATTTTCACAGTATATTGATTGTGATTATTTAATAAATAATCCAAAAATTAATCACTCAATAACTTGATCATCAATAATTTAATTAAAATCTTTATAAACAGTTATCAAATGGATTTCTTTTTTTTGAAAATTCATCGTTCTTAGACGATAACTTGATCATCAGAATATTTCATTCATTTAATTTGAACAAAAATTATTTATAGATACAGTTTGTAAGCATGTCGATTTGATCCGCATGATCAGGGTAGAGAATAAAACATGAAATCCGGTGATATTGAATATTAACTTCATAATTGTTAAAACTCTAACAAAAATACATTGTTAACCTAATACTGCAATTTCTTACATTGTTTAATGAATCCTAATCTAGAGAAAAACAGGCTTTCAATATATTCTTTTGTTTGCTTATTCATCTTAAAATTTTCATTGTTGAGTTTCATTAAAATCAAGAATCGATCATTGTTAGAATATCATTTAGAAATCTGGAAGCATTGGATGATAGTTTTATCCCTGTATAGGGCTCATCAGCTAAATGGCCATCCAATACTTCCAGGTTTCTAATGATAGTCTAACAATGATCAATTCATGTTGTCTTTCAATTACTAACTGTTCATATTGAATAGTAAGAGGTTATTTAATTTAATCATAACAAATCACAGTTTTTTACTTTTCTTTCTATCAATAAAAATGCAATAATTGTTTACTTTTTTGTGTGTTTTTTTCTTTTCTACAGACGAATGTTTCCACCATTCAAAGTAAAAATTACTGGTTTAGAAAAACGTGCAAAATATATTGTTTTAATGGATATTGTAGCGTTGGATGATTGTCGATATAAATTTCAAAATAATTTATGGACAATTGCTGGTAAAGCTGATCCAGAAATGCCAAAACGTATGTATATTCATCCAGATTCTCCATCAACTGGTGAACAATGGATGCAAAAAATTATCTCTTTCCATAAACTTAAATTAACTAATAATATTTCTGATAAACATGGTTATGTAAGTTATGATTTATAAATTTATATTTTTAAAAAAAAATATTATTGATAAATCATTAAACTAAACTAATTATTTCATTAAATAAAATAATTTTTTTCAAAATTTTATATATTACTGATGACTTATTAGTATAAGTTACATTTTATTTTCTTATATAACGGCTAATAATACTTACTATTCGACTGTGTCGATTCAAGTAAGTGAATTAGCGATTTCAATCCAAGATATCTCATAAATAAAAGTTGTATTCTTTTGTTGAGGACGTTAGATTCCCGGAACTCACTTGTTAAGGGTCTTAATTTTGGATTTTATTCATGGGCTGATCAATTGACCTTGAGACCACATTTCCCACCTAGAAAAATCCTTGGCTGTGATTGTCTGCTGTGTCATTTTAGTGTGCTGTATTTGTGACTCTCCCAAGGATGTTTGCATGATGTATAAATGAATGCGATTTGTGTGCTTGAGATCATTGTATTCTGGCTCGGTGTATGTAGAATATACTGTCTTCTCTCTATCAGGACTTCTTCGTTAGTTTCTTTGGGACAACCGATCAGAGTAGCCTACCTGGACACTGGTTCATTGTCTCGTTCTCGTTTATCGACTGAGGTAAACCCGTAATCATTTCAAGCATATCAAGTGACAAAGCAAAACACCCTTGACCAATTAAAAACTATGATATTGTTTACATTATTATTTTTATATTCATTTTTCTTATTCATATTCTTTATTTAAGCACTAATCATTAAAGTGTTAATTTTTACAATGAAAAATCAATTTACTTTTCTATAATTAAAACAAAACAAAAGAAATGTCTAATGAACGAAGCATTTGTGTTATAGTACTTTCATCAGTAAAATAAGCTCTATTCGTTTCTAGTTTTCGAAATGAAATATCAAAACTAATATGAAGTGCAAATATAATTTATCTTTGACTAATAATAATAATAATAATAATAATAATAATAATAATAATAATAACACACTACAATTATTAAACATCACTGTATGTAATGTGACTTAAACTAAAATGAAACAATATGCGCCTATATATATACTGATCATATTAACACCAAAAAAACACCAAGACTATATACTGTTTGTTTTATTATGTTTCTCTTAAAAAGAAGCCAAATTTTATTTCAACATAGAATAACAAACTTTACATTGTATTCATTATGTATAGTAGAATGAATAGAAGAGAATAAATATTTGAATTGTGTTTTCTCTTTTTTCTTTCTTTACTGTAATAATAATGATTTATCTTCCATGAAATAACTCTCTCTCTATCTCTATCTCTCTGTGTTTTCTCAATGAATAAACATGTATCACCAAAATTATTAGTTTTTTCTTTCACAAGTGTAACCTCTTTGAAGTTTTGTTTTAACTAAGAAATACTTATCATTACGGTAACAAGAATACACCATTGAACATAATAAACCTTTAGTCAATAAATAAACAACTAGTGAATAGAACAAGTGTAAAAAAATAAGTAAGTAAAGAAACATTTAACAGTTTTTTAAAAAAAGTCAACAACTCTGTAAGTGTTAATCACCCTCTTTTTTAAATATAGTTTAGTTAAAGAAAGTAATTAGTTCAATGTACAATGATTTTTTTTAAAAAATACAACTAGTTAACATGTCTAAACAATGTGGTACATTGTATTCAGTAAAAAAAACGCTATAATTAAAAAGATGTATGTGTCTTAGTGAAGTAACATAATAATTGTATTATACTGTTAAACGTAGTCAATATACAAATACATTGTATACTGTGTTACATACAACCGCACACACAAACATACACACATTTGAATATCTGTAGAAGTTTACACATGATCATCATGAATGAAACATGCCATAAATGGTGTTGATTCTTATGATACAGTTAATTTATGAGGTCAATATTACCCGCATTTTGAATATTGTCAAATAAAGCTTTACGGTAATTCTTTTATCGATGTATATATATATAGAAAAGAATATCTGATCGATAAATTGGTGAAATTCAATGTGATGCGATATTTTGAGTAAAGCTTATTATTATTTCGATTCAGCTAAACATTACTAGAACTTTTTCAATAATCATTTGTTAAAAATTTAAAGAGATTTCAGTTAATTTTATTCAATAATAATAATAAAATATCTAATTCACTGAGCCGGCTCAGTAGTCCGATGGCTAGGCGTTCGCCTACATTACCGAAGGTCCTGGGTTCGAATCCTGCGGGGTGCAGGAGTCGTGAATGCGCACTACTGAGGAGTCCCATACCAGGACGAAACGGCCGTCCAGTGCTTCCAAGTTTCTAATGGTGGTCTAACATTGATCGATTCATGGTTTCAAAAATGTGTAACTTAACAATCTTCACAACCCCGTAATACTTTAGAAACGTTCATTTTTAATCAATAGGGCTGATGGTTATGAATGAAACTTTGTCATAATTATCCATCTGAGCTGTAATTTTCTTCACCATGTTAAACAATTAGTCTCATTTAAAATACTTAGATAATGACAACATTTAAATTCCCTAAAAGATGTTTTTTTCTAGTTTTTATTAGTAAATGAAATTCGAATTGTACCTAAACCACAATGAAAAAGTGTTCTCATTGTATAGCTTCTATTCAATCTGGAAAAAATAGTTCAGGCATGTAATATATATATATATATATATATATATATATATATATATATATATTCTCTCTATTTTGTCTTTTCGGTAAATTAATTAACCGAACAGATAATATTACGGGGTTATTTTCTGTTCCGTTCGAAATTAAATAGACATCAAAGAACTTATTATAAAAATATATATTCCACACAGAAAATTAATATCCTCTCATTTCATCTCGCTTGAATGAATATAGAATTCTGTGTGTCTGTGTGAATCAGACATGTGCGTGCTTCGTATGTCTGTAATTTTTACATATATTTTCCGTATGGTAAATTATTTGAAGTAATAAATATCAGCTGTAGTTAAGGCCTTTTTTTCCTAATAACTTTCATATTGTCCCACTAATTATTAATATATATATCTACAAAGTCTTAGTTACTGAACTTTGTTACTCAAAAACACAATTAAAACAAATAGTGGATGGTGAGTGGTAAACTATTTATTATACGGATACGGTGAAACAGTGCCGAAATATAAAGAATAGAGACAACTTTCGAGTGATATACCTATACATATTTATCATCCATGACTGATAGAGACAAAGATTTCAGATCACATGTTAGTAATCCATATCGTCTTCAATATATATGAACTGATTTAGTGGAGAGGATGCAAATTTTTATTCAACCTTGCTTAAAAAGATATCAGTAACAAGAGAACGAAACGATAAGATCAAATAACATGTGACACATGAAAAACCAAAAGAAGCCAAATTCAGATCAAAGTGGATTAGTTTTTTAATGTGAGAGATAAAAGTAGTATATGAATGACTAGTAGTTACAGTCTATTAATCTATATTTAGGTTATTAAAATTATAGTTTTTTTTTAATATTGGTATGATAAAATGAACTGAATGTTGTGATTTGTATTTTATTAAACATGTTAGTTTGTAGTAAGTTGTTTTTTATCATAGAAATGAGATATGTCAACATTTAAGAATGGTTATTTTTCATTCAGGTTCTTTGAACAAGAGACAAGGAGACGATCAGTTCAGCAATGCAAAACTAATCGTACGATAAAATTACTTACATATTATACAAATGAAAATATTTTTAATCTCTCTTTTTATCATTTAATGAGAAATAGTTGAAATACACTTAATTAATGTGCCTTCATACTTCATCCAAATTAAATTTTAAGATTCAATCAGTTGCAAATATGTATATCTCTTGACCAACACTGATAAGTGTTTTAAAACAAATCTTTTTCTTGTAAGCAGTGGTTGGAATACATTTCATATACTGTCATTAAAGATCACTTTATATTTCAAAAGTAGATTTTATGAAAGAAACCAAACAACATCAATACACCCCAATGTATTTTAGTTTGAGATTCATCAGCGTTATGCATTCGTGGCTTTAAGAACGTTGGAACATCACATTGGGCAAGAAAAATTCGAATCTCTTAGGTATCTGGATATGCCGTGATCCCCTTTCTGTCTCAGTAATAAATAACTGTTTAAGATCCCCTTCAATTGGTTAAATCTACCAAAAATGACTTCATATTACAACCTTGGTAACTGGTTCTAGAACTCAATTATCAATATAAAAACAATGATTATTATTGATCAGTATAAGGTTGCGGAGGTTGCTGAGTTTAATTGAAATCATAAACCGATCTATGTTAGACCAGCAATGAAAGCCTAAAAGCTTGGAAAGCGTTTCATCCTAGAATGGGACTCCTCGGTGATGCGTACCTGCAATCCTGCAGGCAAGAATCGAACCTGAGGCATTCAATCTGATGCGTAAACTCCTAAACTCTTAACCGTTGAGCTGGTATCCAAATTTGTGGTTTTATGAATTATATAACACAACTTATAAATAACTTGTGACGTGAACTGTTATCACGTTATTTGATGAATGATGTTTGAAGACATTTTTATTTACAAACGAGATCAGAACTTGCAACTATTACTGTATATTGAAAATTTAATAATCTTTCTAACAATAAGTAATGACAACCCAATACTAATCGCATTTATTATTTTTCATTTCACCTCCTTTTTTTGTTCTTCTACTAGACAATATTAAATTCAATGCATAAATATCAACCAAGATTTCATTTAGTACGAGCTAATGATATATTAAGATTACCATATTCAAAATTTAATACTTATACATTTAAAGAAACGCAATTTTTAGCAGTTACTGCTTATCAAAATGAAAAAGTAAGTTAAAATAAATATTGAACTTGTTTTTTTGCTTTTGGTCAAAGGATATCATCACTTAAGCTGTTAGAGTTTAATAATAACAACTGGAAAATGATGGATAAGATCTGAATGAAATACCGTTTTATACTTTTAGATAATTTATGCTGTAGAGATCAGAATGAAGTGCTCTTAACAATTAATTCTTTAGTTGAAACATACAAAAACACTTTGTCCGTGGACTAAATGTAATACCAATGATAAGTGACATCATGAACAGATCTTAGTTGAATCGTCTGAGATTACATCTTGAATCTGGTCACTAGTGAATATATGATTATTGTCAATAAAGGGTTTGATGGAGATTATAAACTATTCATAGTTTGAATTATGAACTGATCTTAGCTATATTACCAGAAACAGTTGACAGCTATTTCGTCCAAGTGATCCATCTTGAGAATTGTAAATTCACAACTCCACTGTTAATTGAACTAAAGATCTTCAGATCTAATAGTTAATGCCTAAACTTTGGAGCTTCGAGTCAGTATTCAGTGATCAATATGTTTAGCTTTAATCGATTCACGATAATACTTGATCAGAACTAGTATATCCATCTTAGTTATTCACTTGTTTATGGTATCAGTTACTGTGATAGGAAAATGATAAAATTCAATTCTTAGAAGAAAAAAGAAATTAGACGTAATATACCAAGTCAGTCGGTTCTATAACAAACAAACTCAATTAGATAAATAATTTTTCTAGAAATGAAATGATTGTTAGACAATCATTATAAACCTGGATGCACTAGACGGCCATTTTGTCCTGATAAGGGACTCTTCAGCAGTGCATATTCACGACCCTCAGTCGTGGGGTTTGGATTCGGGACCTTCACTCTCGCATGTGAACGTTTAACTTCTAGACCGCTGAACTAGCATCCGACGGTGTTAATGTCTACCCTTGATCAATACAAGGTTTTATTCAACCCTTCCCAATGTCCTCGGTAGTTATGGACAAGGAAATATGAGCGAACTCAGACCTATTAACGTAACTTGATTTCAATTGCATGTAAATCTATGGATTACGTCAACCCACAATAAGACACTTACATGTTAATAATGAAACTATAATTAAGTAAATAATTTTCTAGTTTACAAATAATAATTGAAAATATCTAATGTTTTTTTCTAATTAATTTATAATTATTGAATTCTAACTATACATTAACAGTAAGAAGTAAATTTTCTGTGAAAAAATTGTTTTTATGTGGCTCACTTTACAAAAAAAATTATGTTACAATTTAAATTTCCATGTTCAATTCATAGATAACACAATTGAAAATTGATAATAATCCATTCGCTAAAGGATTTCGTGAATCTGGTGGAGGGAGACGAGATAAAAAGTGAGTTTCGAATAAGAAAATTTTTTTTTTCATTTTTCAGTGCATCGATAACAGTGTGCAGTAAAATTAAATTATCATTTCTATCGGTTAAAATTAAATTTATTTAAAGGATTATAAAAAATGTACAAATGTCTAATTGATTTGATTTTCAAATGAAATAAGAGTAACAGGGTTTCATTATTTATCAGAATAATAGTTCTAAGGTGACATCCTTTTTTGCAGAATTCATTTACTAAGTATCATTTGTAAGTCGCGAACCCCATGTCCAACCCACCTGCTTTATCCGGGCTTGGGACCGACAGTAGCTCAAGAAGGGCTTCAAGCGGATTTTTAAAAAAATTTGCTGTTAATATTCACAAATAAAGAAAAATACTAATTTAACCTAAGTTGTTTTTATTTGAAAAAAACAAATTCCGTTTAGGTATTGTGTTGGTGTTTCATTCTCTGACCTAGATGTTTTAGTTGTGGTTTCATTGTTCTTTTGAACAACATCATCAGCACAAAATTCAGATGGAATAACTGAAGCTTCACAACCAATACATCCAACTCATAGAACGAAACACCCCCAAAATCATCCACCCGAGCTACAAATTTTCTCTACCATTTCATTCAGGTATAGAGTATCTCTAGAGAGTATTAATTTTAATTACATGACATCCAGTCAAAGTATGAATTAGTAAATTCCATTTTCAATCAGTATAACTCCTTATATGAATTCACCTGGATAATAAAGTGTATTTATCTCCTTCTTGTTTGATTTTATAACGGCGTTAATCGGAAAGTGAATAAAATATGGTTTGTTTAAATTAATTAATATCTTTTTCAACTAGAGTTAGTGTTTTTACTCATTTAGAATCATCAATCAGTCATTGTTAGACCACCATTAGAAACTTGGAAACACTGGACTACCGGCCCAGTGATCCAGAGGTTAGGCGTTCGCGGACAATACCGAAGGTGCCGGGTTCAAACCCTGTGAATCGTAGGAGTTGTGGATGTGCACTGTCACTGATGAGTCCCATACCAGAACGAAACGGACGTCCAATACTTCCAAGTTTCTAATGGTGTTCTAACAATGGTTGGTTGATGTATTCAAATTAATAACTTGAAAGAAAACCTCAAAATGACACTAATAATACTACTAGTAATGAATACGAACAGCTGAAATAGTTGAAATGTCGGAATGATGACGATAACAACTTTACTCATTTACTACGACTTTCATCTTTACTATTCTGAGAAGTTTGAAATGAAGAAATCATACATCATGGATTTTTTTACAAGATAAATTCAGTTTATAATCAATTCAAATAACAATAGTTAGTCCAAATTTTCTGATGAAATTTAAACCAAATGATGTATGCTATTGAAATATCACATATTAACACTAAAGCTGGTATATAGGGTGTACATGTGAAAAGAAGTAAATTTTTTTCTGTATTTAAATATATCTTTACATAGTTGTATTGATAAGTCGTAATCTCAGCCACAACAGGAATTAAACTCTACAGGTTTATGACTTCTGAATAGAAATTCATGCCAATCTCTCTAGTTCATAAGAAGCATGCGAATAATTTAGACACTTACTTATCCAATGATTTTCTTTTTGTTGTTGTACAGTATACAAAAACGTCTTTTCATATGACCAATTGCTAATTGCAATAGCAAAAAATTAATCTTTCTGTTAATAATAATTATGTTTATTTTATTATAGACGATTAGATGGTTTAAAATATCCTGATCGAGCAATCATACGTAATTGTGATGATAAGAAAACTAACAATCATCATCATCATCAGAATAACAATCGTGAAATTTATGAAAGTCCAAATAATACATCATCTGACACAGAAAATGAACATGAATTCAATGATAATTTAGATAGGATGATGCATTTACCAGTAAAATTTGATAAAACTAATGTATCTATAAAAAAATTATTACCATTACATATGAATAGAACAGAATGTAAATCCAATAAACATTCAAATAAACGTAAGTTTTTTTCTTTTGTAAATACTCTATGTATGTATATATAATGATATTATTGAACAGTGAAATGAAACCACTCAGAGAATCATTAATATTTAGGAAAAAAACTTAAACAGTACAGGCTTATCATTAATGTACATTGAGAAAAATATACAATGCGATAGATCTACACACCTTCCATTCATTTATCAAAGTTATTTTACTACTACTACTACTACTACTACTACTACTACTACTACTACTACTACTACTACTACTGCTACTACTGCTACTACTACTACTACTACTGCTACTACTACTACTACTACTACTGCTACTACTACTACTACTACTACTACTACTACTACTACTACTACTGCTACTACTACTACTACTACTACTACTACTACTACTACTACTACTGTAGTGAACAAGAACACAGGTGCGGCAACCGGATTGTATTCAACGAACATTACAGAGTTACTCAGTAAAATCGGAAAACCATATCGTAAATCGTTAATTTGCAAAATATCAGTTCATCCTATGGAACTGGACTGTTCCTGTTGCCAAACATCAATCCATTGTCACTATTCATGTGTTTCATACAAATTCCATTGTTTTCTAACTCTTCCTTTCTTGATCTTCCCTCATCTTCTGCTGTCAGAAATTAGGTTGACACTCACGTCATATACTACTTATAAGTAGCTCGACCACACTACTACTATATTATACTATAACGATCGTTGAATTTCATTTTGTTTTTAAAAACTATTTCACCTGTGGAGTTATTTATTCTTTTGGTAAGGCTTTTAAGGTTTGGGATATTTAGTAGTTTTGTTTGCATTTGTTCTACTGTTCATTATTTAGTGAGTGAGTACTGTATAGAATTTTGTTTTAAATTATTTACATATGAGCAAGAGTTGTGGATGCGTACTGCTGATAAGTCCCATATCGGGACGAAATGGCCGTCCGGTTCTTTGAGGTTTTCTATGGTGATCTAACGAACGACAATTCATGCATGATTTAAATTTAAAAATAACATCTCCATAATAGTCTAATGCGCAAAAGGAAAAATGCCTAAATATCTTTGATGTGCAAAAGTGAATACCTAGTTTCTTCTAATTTTCATGTTTTTTTCAAATTAAACGAATATTTTATGTTTAGAAGAAATATACTGAATGGTAATTTATCACCCATAATAAGTAATGTGAGCATCAGTTCTTTAACAGTTGTACGTAACCGTAATCTGAAAACTTGATAATATACATTTCTTTTCATTGATTTTTATCATAAGAAATGAGCTACTCTGCTTTTTTTAGTCGAGTATAATAAAAAAAGCTTAGTATTTATAAAAACGTCCAGAATCATACAATTATTTATGTGAAGACAACGTGAAAACTATCAAATATTAAGCAAGTCCAAAACAGCTTCCAATCTCTCATGTTGATGAAAACATCTTTTATGTTTAGAAATCATCATCAATTTGACTTTCAGATAATTGCTAATGAACAGAACTGTGTATATGCACAAGTCTGAACTACAATTTTAGGATCGATCAAAATTGCTAGTAAATTTTGTAAAACAACAAAGAATTTGACAAATAACTTTTAAGGACTTTCAAACATGTTTTTTTGAATAATGTTAAAAAAACACGTAACAAGTGCATTATCATTCATTATACTGGGAAGAATTTTTGGAGGAGGATAAGAATGATATACAATTAACTTTTGTGAAATAAATTTTTCACCTCTATCCTCACATTAATCGAACTAATTAAGTTTCTAAAATGTAAGAGTTTATGAAGATTGTATATTTGTGAAATCTCTAAAAACCTCCTATAATATTTATGATCATCTTTTAGTTAATTACTAAATTAAATTTGAGATTCCTTGAGTTATAATAAGAAGTCGTCATCAGTGAAAGTCAATTATGTCAAGTGTAGGACAGTTGTCTATCATAAACAATAGAAGATGATCATGCTATTATATATTGAATCGATTGATTTCAGATAATTATTATTGTGTGATGATCGGTCAGTGGCTTACAGGTCAAATATTTTCCCAGTAATGGAAAGGTCTTAGGTTCGATCCCCTACAGTAATGTTATGAATGTGCATTTCTGAGGAATCCCACAATGGGACGAAACAAACGTCAAATAATTTCTAGTTTTCAATAGTGGCCCACATAAGATCTGTTCGGGATTACAACTATGTATTGGCAAATTTAGCTGGGAAATTACAATTGTATCAATGATTCGAACTGTAAACACCAAACGTAATTCAATATGCATATCTACTACTAGTACTAATAATAATAATAATAATAATAATAACAATGGTAATTGCTATCCTTTGTGTTAGACAAACATTGTTCCTTGTTTTCTCCTAATTGTACTTCCGAAAATCAAGGCAATGCCTTTATTTGCCATTTTCATTCTGTGACTGAGATTATTTGCATCACGGAGTTGTGAAGATTGTAAAGTTACACATTTTTGAAACCATGAATCGATCGATGTTAGACCACCATTAGAAACCTGAAAGCACTGGATGGCTGTTTCGTCTTGGTATGGGACTCCTCAGTGAAGTTCAACCTGTTCGGGTGTAGGCAGTCTACCGAAGACTGTGTATGAAGTTGCACAACTCCGTGAATTTGATCAAGTTAGACATTGACACCGTTAGATACCGGCTCAGTGGTCTAACGGTTAGGGCGTTAGCGCTCAATACTGAAGGTTCCGGGTTCGAATCCTGCGGGGTGCAGGAGTCGTGGATGCGCACTGCTGCTGATGAGTCCCATACCAGGACGAAACAGCCGTCCAGTGCTTCCAGGTTCCTAACATTGGTCTAACATTGATCGATTCATGGTTTCAAAAATGTGTGACTGAGATTATTCGCTACATTTTTAGTGTACAATAACTATGATTTATATCGAGAACTTTTAGTCATTTTTTTTGTTCACTAAGTGAATAAGTTCCGTCTATCAAGATGTAATTTTCATCAAATATTATGACATCACTGGCATTTAACGCCAACTTTGAAAATATCGTAACAGTACAACCATCAATTAGACGCTAAAGTTTGTAATCCAATCTGAATCACTGAAAATCACATTTTAACATGCAATTTCTACCGCTAAATGAACATGCTACAGTTATTGAATATTTATTCATTCAGTTTGATTTTTGATAAACGAATAGGGGTAGTTGTTGAATTATGTATGTTGTGGGGACTGTATTTGTGTACGAAAACGTTCGTAATAATAATAGTAATAATAATAATGACCCCATGATGTTGTCATTGCTTGTATCTTCTCTTCCTGTACAACTGAAACCTTGTTTACAAAAAAAAAAAACAGCAATGAACAAGTTAGAACAGAGAGAAAAAAAATACGAGGAATAACCTTTTTTTTTCTTCTTCTAATTTTTTTCTCCATAAAATTAAAAAAAATAGAAGATAATTATGTGATACTATGAGATAATGTGAGACTAAATTACAAAGGTCAGAAAACATAAAATAAGGGAAGGAAGTTTGATGATGATGATGATGATGATAATAATAATATGCCTAGTTGGAAAACCACTGATAACAGAACGATATAAGAGTGTGTGTGGAGGTGAATGCGTGAATAGACAGAGACACACACGTATCAGTAACGCATATTAACGTAAATTAATAGGTTAATGGAATTTTTGTCAAATTATAACTTTTTCTTGCTTGATATAACAAAAAAATCAACTCAATATCATCACAATGTAGAAAATCCTTTTTTCTATTTTGATTTTTACACATGAATCCTAACCACAACAAAGTTCTATTGACATTTTGTATTTGCCTGCTGAGTAAAAAATTACTACGTCTTACCTACACCTAAGAGTCGTTTATCATTATTAGCGTAGGACAAGTGCATGAAATATTCAAATGTGTTGCTAAGGTTTTCTTTTCATTAACACAAAAGAAATCGCAAAAAAAAAGATAAGAACGATAGATAGATAGATAGATAGATAAAGAGCATATTTTTTCATTCATTTACAAAGTGTTTTGCTTTCTTGAATCATATCTTAGATCAAAAGAAAATAAGGTGAGAGGACAATTAATGTCATTCAATATTCAAGCATCTTCTATTCAATATTCATTAGAAAAAAAAGTTTTATTCTTTATCCTTTACCTTTCTCTTTGTTTCTCAATTTTACTTCGTTATTGTTGTTGTAGCAAGATTGATTCATTAAAAATTTTGATAAAACAAAAAAAAACGTGTACTTCCCATCTGCACAATAGATCTTTTGAATAATTGGTACACTAGTCACCACATAAGATTTGTTTTATTTTAATCAAGATATGTCTATTCAGTTAGAAATATTCAAAAAAATCCCATTTATTACTGTGTTTTTAACATGGTTATTTATTATGGCTGATTAAAGCTGTCATAATTCGAAAAGATACTCAAATCAATTGATTCAGTCGAATAGTTGGTGACAAATAGTGACATCTGGGTACTTTCTTTTTCTCTCTCATGAACAATTATTATTGTCGATAGTGTTTTTTCTAGGCAAAAAAAAATATTTTTAAATCATTAAAAGAAACTTACATTTGACAACTTATTTCTAAATGATTAAAAGAATTTCAGTATTTTTAATTACTGAATGAAAAAACTTTTATTGCATAAACTAAGATTGTAAGGTTTGATTATTTTTCTTACGTTAAAATTTATGGTTACTACTAGGATCAAGCTCTTTTACAGTTCATTAGTAGTCAGAAATACAAAAACAAATTGATATCTAAGCTAATATATATATATATTAATATTCTGAGGATAAAAGGGATAAATCTAAGTTTGGATGAAATGGTGAAAATGATCAAAACTATGTTGACTGAAAAATTCATTAAAACTAATAAGTAATTGTTGGGGATGTTTAGATCCCCAGAACTCACTTGATAAATATCTTTATTTTGGATTTATTTCATGGACTGATCAGTTGACCTTGACATGACATTTCCCACCGGGAAAATCTTTGGCTGTGATTGGTTACTGTGTCAATTTGGTGTGCTATTTTCATTACTGCCTCAAGGACGACTCTATAGAGTATAAATAAAAGCAATTTAAGTGCTTGGATTCATTGTGTGTGCTGGATGGGTGTTTGTAGGATAAACTTTCTAGCTATATAAAGACTTCTCGCTGGTACAGTGAGGACAATCGGATCAGAGTAGCCTACGTGGACGCTGGTTCATTGTTTTGTTCTCGTTATTCGACTAAGGTGAACTCGTAATAGTTTAAGCATACCTAGAGATGAGCGTAACAGTAATTAAGTTTCATGTATCATATTAATTGATATTGAAATTTGGTAAGACATTTGAGTTTCACTATAAAGATTAACACTGAATACACGTATATATTCATTTAAGCAAATCCCAAATAAGATAATATAGCCTAATTTTGAACGCTTCTGTTTAATCACTCACTATTCAACTTTAGCGAAAAAAAATTATATTGAGTTAATTTTTTTCTAGAATAACCTCATACCCACTTTTCTATTTGACTTCTTTATTGATTTAGGTGCTGGATCAAAAGGTTTCATTGATTTTACTGGACGAGTTGAAAAACTACGCCGAACACATCAACACAACAATCAACATTTTTATTCTTCCAATGATCATATATACACAACAGATTTCTCTGTAAATAATGAACATCATTTATTTTATCAAAAAGGTATCGATTCTAAACAAAAGCATTCATCATCAATGCTTTTATGTCCATCTACACCAAATAATAACAGTAACAATACTAATAATAGCAATAATAACAATAATAACAGTCTATTTTCTCCACCTTATATCGATTTAAAACGTAATTCTTTAGGAAATTTTTCTAAACCTAATGAAATTCCACCAAATGTAACTGTTATATCAAGTGAATCTATTGGATATTTTAATAATACTACTACTGCTACTACTACTAATAATAATAGTCATCAATATAATAATCATAATAATAGTAGTATAAATATGAACCATGAAAATTCTTATTACTCATCACAATCAAATCAAATTAATGATTTAGAAAGAAACGAATTCTTTTCCAGCCTTCATCATCATACTTCAATGAATAATGGATATAATTTTCTTAAAAATAATCATTCAAATGAATTGAATAAATTTCTTTCAAATTGGACGCATCAATTAACAGCACAACTAATTCAAAATCAATTAACAAATTATTCCATGCCATCAATGACACCATCAACAATTTCATTAGGATCTTCATCAGTATCATCAGCATCAGCATCAGCAGCGACAACAACAACGACAACACAGAATTCATTCCGAAATTCAATACCACCATCCGAGGATGCAATGCATAGATCTCATTTGAATTCAATGCAATCATTATCAAATTATACAACAAATTTAGCTATCTGTATGCAACAATATCCTCAATTTCTATCCAACATTTTATCATTATTTCATCCATTAGATACATCTTGTAGAAATTATAGTACAACTGCGAGTTCACAATTAAATAGTAATGATATGAATACAACAACAACAACAACAACAAATTATCCAATCATAAATCATAATCATCATAAATCGACTATAGCTAATAAACCAAGCAACGATTACAATGCCTCATGCAATAATAATAATAATAATAATAATAATAATAATAATAATAATAATAATGTGACTATAAGTGAAACAAATGATTTGACTACATCCAAATCTAAATTGAATTCTGAACAACGATCATCTGATTTTTCAATTTTTGCGCTAACTAATTTACCGCAAAATTCAATATCACCAAAATCAACAACACATCAATCAAATCAGTCTTCATCATCATCATCATCATCACCTTCATCACATCCAATGATGATGAATGAATCATCATTGTCTGTACAGACAATCATCGATTCAGATGATCAATCAGTTCATAAACAATCAACCAATGATTCAATGAATAAAACATTGATAGAGAAAAATAATAAACATTAATGGAAAAATTACAAATTATTGTTGTCTCTTGAATTATATGGTCATTTCGCCTTATCATTCAATATACATAAATAGATAGATATAGATAGATAGATATTTGCATATAAATAAGAGCTCATGAATAATAATAATAATAATAATAATAGATGAATTCTGTGATTCAAAATCAAATTTTCAATGATCAATCTATACAGAATCTGATTTTAAAAAAAACGGTACTACACATTTTGTTTGTGTCTAATTCATAAAAAAAGTGTATCTCCATGACGATGATATTGTGATAACATTATATAATTATATATTTTAAAGTGGAATTTTCTATCACTAAAAGAATAATGTTCATATTCGACAATTACAAATTATTCTCGAAATTAATTCAATGAAAGTAGAATCAGTAATCAATAACAATGAACATTACACAGCAAAAAAACAAATTGTCATCATGAAAAAATGAACAAACTACAATTGAGTAAAATGATTAACATTCCAATTTTATTTATCAGAAAACAAATAAATATATATATATACATATTACATCATATTATCAAAAAATAACAAATCTATGCTAATACACACATAGATAAATTCTTACTTTCGGTGATAATAACTATGATTTATTAGTTAAGCGTTTGTGTGTGTGTATACTTTGCATACAGACAATTCAATGTACAGTCAACAAGATACATTCCATTGTGTTTCATTGGTTATACCATAATAACACTATTATTATCATTGTCAATATTACTACTTACTAACAATTAGAGAGTGAGAAACAATCAAATTCAACTAGTTAGTTTATAAAATTAATCTACTTAATTGTTTATTCAGTAGTATGGTCTCATGATCATGGTATCGATTTGTAATACATTAAAAAAGAATTTTGTATATTGTATCATAGTAATGATATAAATGAAATAATCATGTCAGGTATTTCATTGTATCATTGAATTTTTTTATTTTTAATGTGAATTAATTTTGGTTTGTTTGTTTGATTTCAATAAAACAAATTCATTGTTCAATTACACAGATATCTTCATTGGTCACATAGTATTATTATTCTACAGTTGACATTCCTCTATATGCATTGTTTCTATTTTAAAATTTTTAAAAATTCTTTATCTTCATGCTTCGTTTTAATTTCTCATTTTGTAATTTATTCTACCAAATGATTGGACAATAGAAATGAAAGATCATTTTGTTTTAAATGGAGAAAAACAATACAAAACACAACACAACAACACCTATTTTCCCATTCAGACATATAGAAACTCTATCATAACGTGTAATGAATATCATTGTAACAACACGTAATGTACTTAGTATTATTACTATTATTATTGCGATTGTGGATTTTGCGTTTCCTTTGAATAAAAATTTACTATCAATGTTTTCATTACTGATAACTTGGAAAAGATTATTGTGAATGAATCTGTATTAAAACATAAATTTAGTTTGTTGATGAAAGCAACGACTGTCAGATGCTAGCGATGATTATCTTTCTTGGTCTTGTTGACAGAACAGAAACTAATCAGTTAATGAATTTATCAAGAACATGTTGGTCGTTTATATTTGTGTCATTTGTAGGAAACGAAATTAAATTTATAACTAATTTCGTCATAAACACTAATATAAAAATATGAGAATTGACGTGCGGGGAAGGGGAGGAGAAATATTCGACTGTCATTTTGTCCTATTCTATAACTTTATAGAAACGCTTGCAAACATACCTACCACATGGTTGAACTGAAGGCCTTCAGGTTTATACTTTAGCTTAAATTTAGTGACTTATGAAGCTAACTCCAGTCAATTTATGAGGCTACCTGGTGACGTCAGTTAAATATTTCCTATAAGTGATTGTGTTGGGTTACTTCGGAATGAGTCATGTTCATTCATTATCTCATAACCATAACTTAATAGCTGAGTGGTGTACGATTACGATTACTATTACTATTATTCATATCTACTGTCACAACAGTGTAAAATTATATCACCAATCCCACTAGAAAATATTGATTTACAATATTACTTCATTGATTATTTATCTAACAGAAAAATCTATGATTTTTTGAAATCTAACTCATCTGTTACTGATATTTTTGTAGAAAAACAAAATCTCATTAGTCTCCTTTTTTCTTTTACACAAGAAAGGCATATAAATATAAATTATAGGATGTAGTCTTTCTTGATTTTGTCAATACAACATATAAATAACTATATACGATGAAATCTGTCAACCAATATGTACATCTGTATATATATATATATATATATATATATATATATATATATATAATCTTTCTAATGTTTACGCTTATGTGGTAGACCAAATATGTGAATCGAATAAAAATAAAACATTCAACACATATTTTTAAGAACAAACGATTAATGTACAAACGCGCAAATTTATTGACCATGTCATAATATTACTAATCTGTTGAACAAACATATTTAAATGAATAGTGGCGCCATAAAGCCAGTAAAGAAAAAATGTTTTATTCTTAAAATCATCTAAATATATGCATAGGTGATCATAGATTTTTCTTGAATCTTTTCGTAGGATTGCATAAACTAGTACAGAAAGAATCTGATTGATTAAATATTGTTTTTTTATCTTGATATTTATCGGAAATCGATAGTGAAGTCTGATTTTTTTTTGACAATAAGCAACACACACTGTACATAACTGAAATACTCTGTGCTGTTGTGAATTGTTAGAACTTCAGGATTACTTATCAAATGATTCTTTCCTTTTATACAATGAGGATGATAATTTGTAATTTTTACACATTTGAAATCATCAATCAATAATTGTTAGACCACCATTAGAAACCTGAAAGCACTAGACGGCCGTTTCGTTCTGGTATGGGACTCATCAGTGGTGGTGCGCACCCACGACTCCTGCACCTCACAGGATTCGAACCCGGAACCTTCGGTATTGTGTGAGAACGCCTAACCATCGGACCACTGGGCCAGCATCCAATAGTATTAATGTCTAACTCTGATCTAGGGAATTTGCGTGACCTCACCTATTTGTCTTCGGTAGTTACTGCCTACACCCGACAGGGTTGAACTCCATTAGTCACGTCTTCTCAACTAGAACTCCAACAATTTTCTCACGAAGCTAGTCACTTGTGTAAAAACACAAACCTCCAAAACTCTGCCTGTGTTGTACGATATATGATTTAAAATAAATCGCTTGAGATACATCTGTTTACTTGAAAATCTAAATGATCAGACACTATAGTAAGTTAACATCCATGCCGAGAACTAATTATTATATTCAACTATAAATTGATAGGGTAGTTAGAAGTATCCTCCACAGAAATTGTTATGCATTATTGATAAACAGATGTATTCATAGAAAATTTCTTGATTGCATAATATTCATTCACGTTGAACAACTGTCTGATTTATGTAAGTGTCAAATTTGAAGTAATGCAAATGTAATCCAAGGATCATTGAAACTACTTCATAAAAAAAAAATTAAATACTTAAGTTGTGACACCGATTTTATTGATTTGCTTTAAATTAAATTTTAAAATTAAGAAAGAATTTCATTCACAGTAAAATGAAATTAAGTTCATGTGGTTTATGTCTATAAAAAGGTAAGTAGACTATGTCATTTTCAAATCTGAACAATAAAATGTAAACAATGATTTGTCTATTCTTTCTAATTTTATCAAAACAGAATATTTAGTTGATGCTGCAATAATCTTTAATGTGGTTTCAAATATACTAAAAGAGATTTTCAAATAGTTTATGTTTACCTTTGTTAATGTAAATCTCACGACATGATTGAAAAATATGTACCGAGTATTAGAAGGTCATATGGATAGATATATCTTGAAGCGATATTGTAAAACATAGTTCATGATTTAGAGAATTGTTTTATACGAGATTTACAATTCAGCCACGATAGTACACTGAAAGTTGTCAGGATTTTGTTTTTCATATCTTAAAGATCAGTGTACTTAAGCCAAATGATTAGTGATTGTTAAATTAAAAAGAATTTCCACATGACATTTGATTTTATTCTAGTTTAGTAACTTTTCAGCAATACATATCTACAATAAACTATAGTCGAATCATTCGATAGATAAAGTTACCTTGAAACCAAAAACTTCTGAATCCAATGACTCACTAATTCCAACTTCAGTCAGTTCATAGTGTTAAATGATGATCTTGTAATTCGGTCGATGATATTTGTGTAATACATCGAAAAAGAAGATGTAATTCAACCAATGATCTAAAAGCTTCTAAATAGTTTATTGATTCTATCTAGCTAATGTTCGTTTTTAATAACTTCAAATTGAAAATTTATAAAATGGATGGAACATTACAAAAGTATACTCATCAAACTTCTTATTTAATATCTTAATCCAAACTCTTAGTGATATTTTGGGGCACAGTTTTGGAGGTTTGCGTTTTTACATATTTGAAATCATCAATCAATCATTGTTAGACTAGTGACTAGCTTTGTGAGGAAATTCTCGGAGTTCTAGTTGAGAAGACGTGACCAATGGAGTTCAACCCTGTCGGGTGTAGGCAGTAATTACCAAAGAAAATGGGCGAGGTCACGCAAAATCCCTAGATCAATCAGAGTTAGACATTAACACTGTTGGATGCCAGCCTAGTGGTCCGATGGTTAAGCGTTTGTGCACAATACCGAAGGTACCGGGTTCGAATCCTACGAGGTGAAGGAGTCGTGGATGCGCACTGCTGATGAGTCCCATACCAGGACGAAACGGCCGTCCAGTGCTTTCAGGTTTCTAATGGTGGTCTAACAATGATTGACTGATGATTTCAAATCTTAGTGACATCACAATTCATAATATACATAAATCATAAAACATTTATATATAAATATATAAATAATAATATCAGTCATATTTGATAAACAAGTAATTATTTCTTCGTATCACTGATTTATAATGTTTACGGTAATTATTGATTGATATGCATACGTTTAAAAAAAAAATTTATAAACAGTCTTTACACAG